AATTATCTCTGTCTGTCGAAACGTTTTTTTACTTTTTTTATATAAAAATGTTATCTCCACCCTTTAACTCCCAGTGTGAATGATGGACTCGTATAAGGTGGTTTTAAGAGGATGAATGAATATGAATTATTTATTTTGAATTTTTGATGATTTTGCCAAGGAATACTTTTGGGACTGAAAGGGATAAGTGATGAAACTATCAATATTATTGTGTTTTTTAAATCAAAAATTGCTTGAGATTATTTTTATTTTTATGAGTTTACTTGTAACTTTTAACATAGATTATGCTGCATTAAGAAGATTTGTCGATTTCATTTTTCGAGAACACCATTTTACATTCGTATGTTGAAGCTACTGTTTGCAAAAAATCAGTCACATTTTGCTTTTAACAGCTTTGTGCAGAATCATTTCTAGTTTCCCAGTTTTTGAGAGGAGTATTTAAACCCTTTAACAAAGTGTACATATCATCTGAACATATCAGAGTCACTGCTTTTCTATGTAAAAAAACTCTTTTAAGTTAAATTTACTTAATCAGAATTCTTTAAGATGATTTACGAATTTCAATTTTTTTAGAAGAGTAGATTTCAATCAGTTTGAAAGGTGTACATGTCTTCACGCTGGTATAATAGAGTTACTGGTTTTATTACAAAATGTTGAAAGTCAATATTACTTAGGTGTTAGACTAGAATGCCTTTCCATTCTACTTGCAAATAAACCAGTGCATAAAGGAATACTGAAACCAGTTTCTTACGCGTTATTTCTTTCCATTTGTTACCTGAATCCTTAGTTTTTAACGCATCCTTAAAAATTTTTGTCTCTAGTAAGAATTCTTTGTGAACGTGTGAAAAGAAAACCTTATTAAATAGCTCATGCTTGGGGCTAAAACGAGTGCGATTCGTACACGTAGCTTTTGTCGATAACATATCTGGGAATTTTTAACAAGGAAATTTGATATGTGAAAAGCATGATAGAATTGGTTTTAGTCAAGGGAAATTGGTTGGGCGTTTATAATAAGCCCTACTTCTCTTAAACTGCAACTCCTTTACATGTCCGCCTAACACGTGAAAGTAGCGAAAAGTTGTTTAAATGAGACCTTTACACCAACTTCGTTTATATTATGTGGGCTTAAATCTTTTCTTTAAAGCGTACTTACAACAACCTTACGTCAGCTTAAATCTCTTCTTCGTAGCGTATTTACACCAACTTTATGTTAGCTTAAATCCCTTCTTTAAAGCGTATTTACACCAACTTCACGTTAGCTTAAATCTCCTTTTCACGGCGTATCTACACCACCTTTACGCAGGGCTTAAAGTGTCTCTTTACATATGCGTAAAGGTAAGGTTCGGCTTTAAGTGGCAGAAATGTGTCGTAAGGTTACGCAAATGAGAGCTTTACGCTAGCTTTACGCCACCATTACGTTAACTTAAATTTGCCTTTCCGTGCTGTGTATGGTATCGCAATGGGGAAGAGGTCAAAGAGGGCAATAACTGCCGTTGCCTTATTATAAAATCACCAGGAAGGTACCTCGTAGAGGTTCATTTTGGCGAAGAAAAGGCCACATCAAAGCCAGTCGTGATCTGTTTGATTGACAAGTTGGAACCCTCAAGTCCCCCAGTCGCTAGTATGGAGGCAAAAGAGAGCCATTGTTTTATTTCAGAGGAAATACGTCCACCAGTTTCCCGCAAAGATGGCCATGGTCTTTCACCTGTGGTTGAAAAGGATGAGGTCATGTTGAAAGATGAAATTGGCAGAGGTTCTTTCGGTACAGTCTACAAAGGACTGTGGGCTGGAACTAATGTTGCAGTAAAGCATATTAAGGTCAAAAATGCAAAGCATCTCCAAGCAACTGTGGCATCTGAGATAAAAGTGCATAGCCTAGTTCGCCATCAAACATTGTCCAAATTATGGCAATTTCATTTTTGACAAATGCAATCCACCTTGTGTGAAAATTGATCAAAGGATCCAATTCAGACGACCTCCTTCAGCGATGATAAAAACAAAACCCATTTCACCATCCAAAGTTGTAATAACTTGCACAAAAACAGAACTGCCACGCTGTTGCATACTTACATAATTTGAAGCCCCCTGTGGTTCACAGAGACATAAAACCCGCCAATGTCTTAGTAGATGAGGCAACACAGGTCACAAAACTCCGTGATATGGCACTGAGCAACTTGAAATCTGCTCCGTCCGTTTGTCATACAACCAGCACAGGCATACCTGGCACTTCTTCCTATGCCTCCAGCGTGCCTGCTGGAGAGAAAGAACGACACTGTTAACTCCGATGTATTAGTTTCTTTTTAATAAGTTCTTTGCTATTAGAGTAATAAATCTCTTAAAAAAAGAAAAAATTAAAAAAATCCCACGTATGGTCCTTGGCAGTTACATTAATAGAGGTGTTCACAGAAAAAGACTGCTGGGGAGAGAAACTTCAAGATAATGGTGCACAGTTGGAGTCTCACAGAGAGGACGAGAATGCCCTTATGAAGAAGAAAGAGAGGCCCGCTCGTTAGGATTACTTTCAACAACCGTCGGTGATTCGCTTCAGGATATACTTGAGGACTGTTTTCAGTAGGATATCAGCAAGAGGCCCAGTGCCATTGCTCTTGTTAGAAAATTCCAATAAAGACAGATTAGAGACATTGCACAGGAATCATTACAGGCTACATGAATGCGTATCTTAAACTTTAGAACAATCTTGAGTTTTATGTTCCGTTTACATATCCAGACAGGTAACACAAGTGTTTTTGAAATCGTTACATCTATTTAAAAGGTTTTTCCATTTAGAATGATTCGAATGGAAACTGAAAAAAAAAGCTTATATGCTATCCAATGCGATGGGTGTGTTTCAAATGAAGACTCCATGTCGTGCAGCAGTCTGTTTGCAGTCAAAATATGCAGTTCCGTAAAATGATTTCCCTTTCAGACAGTTCGTCTCTCGTATGCATGCATGTTACTCGGAACTTGCAGTGTTTCTTTGATCTCTCCAGCGGCGTGGTTGAATACAAAAATTTCAATTGCACTCAGCAGGTACCTGACAAAAGTTACGAGCATAACTACATATCATTAACTTGCTGGCGAGACCATAAATATGTAAGTCTTACCCGCCCTGACCTCTTGAAGCTTGTGACAAAAAACTCCTTTGTCAATAAGACCCCCACCCTTGCTCATCTCTTCTTTTTAAAATGGAGAGACCCTATGGGCTGTTCACCCTAACTGTTTATGTTTCAAAGCTTTTTTTTTTTGTCAAATCAGAGTCATCGACTTTTTAAAATACCCTGTATAGATGTAGTTTCCGCAAGCAAGCACTACCAGCTGTCCTAATTCATGGCTAGAAGCAAGGATAGCCTTATATCTTTTTGGTATCCTTCATATAATTCGATTTCCTCAATAACAACAGGTTATCCATCCCCCTATAGTGGAGGATAGTCGTCCCTTGCTCACTGTAAAGGCAAATACCACATACTGTAATAATTTCCCATTTGATGGATAATTTTAGTAATTTTTAAAAAAAGTTGTAAATTGCTTTTTTTACCCACGAAGCACTTAGGAGTTAATATAAACTCGTTTAAACATGTCCGTGCGTTCCAGATCGAATGGAAATGTTGGTTTTTGATGACAGGGGAAAACCTCTCGGAGTAAGAGAGAGAACCAGCAACAAATTCAACCCACATATGGTGTCAACGCCGAGAGTTGAACCTCGGCCACATTGGTGGGAGGTGAGTGCTCTCACCACTACGCCACACTAGCTCCCAAACACTTTACTCATGTACAGTAAAACATTTAAATCACAATTATTTATAACTTGATGCCTTACCTTGTAGGTAAAGGAGAAGGAAATCAGTCTCAAAGAGCTCAAGCAGGGAGGCCCAGAATATTAGAGCACTTTCACAAGTGCAGGAGACTGTGGCAAATTTTTTTCAATGAAAGAGCTGGGAGGAGGTTTTAACTAAATTTAGTGAAAGAGTTTGTTCAGTGACGCTGACGGTTTAAGGTAAATATCATGGCTGATTCATTTTTTAGTTTAAAACAAAATTATAATTTTAGTAATATCCTGATGAAATTACTCTGTTACATTAACTTTAATGCTTCTGTCAACAATTAGGGACTCCAGCGGACCACTGCGCATCTTTTCTGCGCATTCGAATAAATCAATGTTATTTTTGGGGTGAGAAATGGCCGAGCTGGGTGACCTGTGAAAAACGCTAGTTTCGCAAGGGATGCTGGTATCCTACGGTGCTGGGAAGTTTTCCTTCGAAAAGCGAAGAAGGCAAGCTTCATTTTGATGTATTTTTAAGCGATATCCAATGTTACATGCTCTCACAATACACATTCGAAGATTTCAGAGTACATTTTTGGTCATTTTGCTGATGTTTGAGGTGTTTAAAGTGGGAAATTCGAAATCTACGGCCATGTAAGTACTTTTGTACTAGGATTGCTGAAGGATGGGAGCTAATAAACTGGCGCGAAATTATATAACTTCTGTGTGCAGTACTAGAATTTGTTGTTATTTTGGCAATGCGAAACTGGGTCTTAGCCCCTGACCCTAGTTATAAATATAAGTATCGAGTATGGTGATGAGTAAATCGTGATTTGGTTTTATTGAGTAGGCTTTCGTAGCAAATTAAATCGTGATTTAGTTTGATTTCAACTTGTCAATGACAATGTCATATCATTGAGTGATTGGCAGCAAACTTTTCTCAGCTTTTTTCCTGCCTCTTAAATTTCGGTTATGTATTGGCTATTGTACTGTTTTTTTCTTCCCTCTTAAATTTCTATTACATCCATTTTTATTGAACATATGTAATGTTAATGTTATTGCTTTTGGTTCATTGGATCCAGAGATGTCACTGTGTCAGATATTTTAAGAGGTAAAGAAATTGAAATTAGTGGCCCATTTCTTTGTCCAGTATTGATGTTAGCATTTTAATGTGAAAAATCTACATTTGAAGGTGCAGGGATTTAACTTTTGATATACTGCTTAAATTCTCTTAAGAAAAATGGCTGACAGCGAGGAGTATCCTGGTCCATATTGTATGAAGAACGGCATATCAACAGACTGGCTTATTTCCATGTTGAGTAATTCCAAGGACGGACCTGATCAGCCTAATGTTCCTGATTTCCATGACCCAGTCAAGATCTCCTTGCCAGTATCAGATGACCCTGAAAATGAAACATGCCCTGTGTGTCTTGGAGGATGTGAAAACAAGTCTTACATCAAAGACTGTATGCATTACTTTTGCTTTGCTTGTATCCGTCAGTGGTCTCTGATGGTAGAGACATGTCCTGTTTGCAAAGTGAAAGTAACCTCTATACTTCACTCTGCTTCATCCCCAATGGAGTATCAGGAATTAACTTTGTCAGGAAATTCAGAAACTGGTAAACATCTATGTCAAGGTGTTATTTTAGAGATGCTTAATTCAATGGAGACAAATAATTTGACCTGGCAGAGTATGATGATATGGTTGAAGTATTACTATGGTGTAAATTTTCATGAGTTATGTCCATCAGTGCAGGCAATAACAAGTCGTGTTAAAAATTTACAGAAGAAAGTTCAAAAGCTATCCAGAGACAGGAAAAAAACTGATATTGAGGTTATGAAATCTTTACCATTTGACTTACCTGAGAGTCGGAAGAGTGAAAGCTTCCAAGAGGACTTGAAAAGGAAACATACTGAATCTGTCTTGAAAGTTAACTTTAAAGAATCTTCTGTGTCACATACCTTGTATGCATCAACGATCTCAGCATGCAACTCCTTAGCTAATGAATTGTGTGAAGTAAAAGAAAGCCTGACAACAGAGCAGGAAAAGAAAGAAAAAATTAAGGCAAAGTGTGAGTCTCAGAAAAGTGTTTGTAGGAATTTAACAAGACAACTAAAGCGCCGATCAGTTGCACTTGACAGGCAAAAAGGAGAGAAGAAAACTTTAGAGAAGGAAGTGGCCATAAAAAACAAAGAGATATCTAAATTAAGGAAAGAACTGGATTCAAAAGGTGAAAAGATTGAAAATTATAAGACAAAAGTCAGTGAAATCCGCAAAGAAAAGAAGAATGTACAGGAACTGAACAGATATCACAGAAAACGAAACAGTGATCTAAAAAATGTTCACGCCATTGGTGATGATGGGAACAGTGCTCTTTCAACTAAACTGAGAGAATGCAATGATATCATAGTTGAGAAAGATGATGTACTAAACCAACTGTCAGAGAGAGTTGACGAATTGGAAGCTATGCAAACTTCACAGCCTGCTGTAGTGACATTTGAGAATGGAAGGTACACTGATGATGTACGGGTGACTTGCTTGGATCTGTTGAGCAGAAATGTTGGAATTCAAAATGTGGAGCCCATCATACGAAGTGTAAGTAGTAACATTTTTAAAGCTGAACTAGGCAGACTCCCAGGCACAAGCAAGTTGGCAGAAATGCTTGTAGAAGCTAGGACTGTCTCACACTTGCAGCTTGCTTAACAAATACCCAAAGAGCAATTTAACACCTTACACACGGATGGAACTACAAAGTTTGGTCATAAATGTGGTAGTTATCAAGTATCTACTGAAACCAGTTGCTACACATTGGGTCTTGCTGATATGCAGTCAGGTTCAGCAGCTCAAACCCTTGAGGTCTTAAAGCAAGTCCTAAGTGACATAGGAAAGGCTGCAGAGCAACATGGAAGAATGGTACCCCCTCACGTATCCTTACATCTATTAAAAACACTATGTCTGACCGGCACATTGTTGAGAAGAATTTCAATGAATTACTGCAGACATATCGAGCTGAATGCTTACCAGGAGTAACTGCAAACTGGCAACACTTGACTGAAAAGGAGCAGTTGGAAGTTGCCAAGATGAATAACTTCTTTTGTGGAATGCACTTTATGGTTGCAATGGCAGATCAGGCAGATAAGACTTTGAAAGAATGGGAGAAGGTGCAGTTTGGTGCAGAAAAGGTGGGGGCAGCAGCGCTTCCAGGAAATGCCACGGGCTCTGAGTCAGGTACAATTCGTCTGGTGCGAACCATGTGCAAAGCAATGGAAAAACATGGATCAGAGCAAGTGGGCTGCTCATTGCCTTTCAGTGAGTACCTCAAGACACAAGGAATTAAAAAGGTGCCACTTTCTAGCTTCAAAGGGAACCGTTTTAACATTGTGTTTCATAATGCAGCTGGTGTGTATTTCCTTAATGAACATGCTAGGGTTTTCTTGGAATCCATTTATGGCACTGGAAATAGGTTGCTGCAGGCAGTGGTAGCAGATGTTACGCTGAAAGCGTATGTTGCAGCAACAAGAGCTCTTGGAGTTATTAACAAGATGATTACAGTCCCCCTATGGAGAGTGATTGAAGATAAAACTCTAGGAATCCTTGATATGAATGCCAAGTACACATCTATGAGGGACTCTGAAAGCTTGGTCTGAGGATGCCTCAGCACTGCTTACTGGTGAGGTTTACCTTTTCAATGACACATTAATCAACCGAGATGTTGTGTATGACAAACTTTTTGAGCAGTGTACTGATGACAGCATCACAGTTGAAGTTCTTCAATTAATGTTCAAGAGCTTTTACCTAACCATGGAGCGAATGCTAAAAGATCATTTACCACAAGGTGTTCATGACAAACCTAGTGCTATAAAGATCAGTGAAACAAAGTCAACCCTAAAGTCTAATGTCGTTAGTGAACGTGACTTTGCACAACTTGACCGCTTACTGAGAGAAAAACCAAATGCCACAACAATTGCTTTAGAGGGCATGATATTGTATGCAAACAACAAGACAAGGTCTTGGCTTGATCGCAAGAATGCAGAAGAAAAATCTGAGATTCTCAAAATTGCTACAAAGTTGACACCAGCATACAAGAACTTATTTAACCAAAGGAGAGAAGCCATCCGTCAACATGTTGCACAGACACTAAAAGAAAAACAAGATAACATTGAAAGAAAGAAGTTAAAAGCTCAGCAACAGAAGGAGAAACTTGTGAATGCCACATCTGCAGATGGACTGTGGCAGACTGCTGATGCTGTTGAGGCCGGTATGTTGTGTTATCCATCAGTCTCAAGAAAAATTGTTGCTCTCAAGCAACAGATCAATTTCAGAAAGATTGTTCTGCTTCAGGAGGTGGGTGACAAGTCTCTGTTTTCCTTCTCAAAAGACAAGAAGCAGCATTCGTTGGACCAACTGAAACAAAACCTTTTAAGACTTATTTCTGAGACACAGCATGTAACAGAGCCATCAGCAAAACGTGGAAGAGCCCAAGGAGGCCAAGAAGACCCAGTCATGCAGAACCCACAGCTCCTGGTCGGCAAGAGAGTTGTTCACTATTTTCAAGAGGATGGCACACGCCAGGGCTATTTTGGCGTAGTGATTGGGTTGGTTCCTGGGACAAGGACATGGTTTAATATTTCGTATGATGAAGAGGGTGACGACGAAATTCACACGTTCGAGCTACTCGATGATTATAGAGACGGGGACCTAGAAATTTTATACTCTTAGACTTGGCACAATACACAGATGCAAGTACTTTATTTCAGTTTTGAATAAGGACATAATTTTTGACATGAACATTTTGCAACACTGATTTTGTGAATTTGTTGGTGCTTTTCAGGCATTCATTTAACTGAAAGATGGTTACCATGGCAACACTATGACCTGAAAATATCTACCATCTAGAATTTATTATTTATCAGACTTCAGCATTTCTATAGAATTGTGGTATTTATAAACAAGTAGAAAGATTACGTTTCAACAAGTATGAATTGGGGTAATGTTCAGTGCTACCTTAACACTAAGAAATTAAGGTTGCATGGACTTCTTGCCCATAATTGTGCAAATGTCCCTAAGATTTTAAATTTAGAGGATCCTTTCTGTTTCAATGTGTCAGACTGATAAAATTCAATTTAAAATACTTCATTTTGACCCTTGTTGTCATGGAAACGGCGTTGCCAGGGTAACCATGTTGCATGTATTGTATGTAATGTTCTCTAGCAAGATATTTTCTGGACTTGCTAGGCTATGAAGAGCTATTACAGTGGTAGTTTCCAGGTAAATACTTCATTTTGACCCTTGTTGCTATGGAAACTGCATTGCCATGGTAACCATTTTGCATGTATTGTATGTTATGTTGCCATGCAAGACATTTTATGGACTTGCTAGGTTATAAAGAGCTACCATAATGGTAGTTGCTATGTACTCTTAGTTGAAAATAAATGGTTACTATGATGGAAAAGAAGGCCAATTGGTCCCACTTTTTTGGAGGGAAATTTAAAATTTTAAGCACAAAAAAGTGGAAAATCCTCACTTTCAATATTTCATATCTTTGGAACAATTCAACGAATTTAAACAACTGAGGTATCATTTTTTTTCCTTTTTTTAAGCTCTTTACAACTAAATCTTCCAAAAATAGATTGCTGGTAGGTCAAAAAATCCTCTGGAGTCCCTACAACAATGCAATTCTCACATGTTAAACAAATTCTTCACCATTCTGATGGTATGCTGAAATTTAACATAAAATAAGTATTTTTTACAACATACAGTGTAAAAGATGAAATTTTATCGTACTTATAGGGTGACTTTGAAACATTACACGATTTCAAGATCTTTCTTAAACATCCTAAGAGAGCATACCACTAAAACGCAGGCCAGTGGCAAAGTCATCAACGCATCTATAGGTGTTACCAACGGCCATGTTGTCCTTTCAAGGTATGCTAATATGGAAGAATCATCTTCAGGCCTTGACGATGGGGTATTCTTGTCGATTAAGCATGCTGGATACAGACCTGCATGCAGACCTCAGTTCGCAGTTTACCTTGCGTGCCAAAACAATTCTATGGATGGTCCGTCAAGTTAAGGAAGTGATTTCAAAGGTGATTTTAAGAACATTTGCAGGAAGAGAAATTTCTCAAAAACAGACTAAAATTCTAGTCACGCCCAACAGATGCAAATTCCGTGGTGATGCGTTCATAGTGTAATCTGAAGTGCATTTTTCATAACCTTTGTGCCACGACCATGAAATTTTATTAGCTAAACTGTCTTCAAAGTCAAAAATTCAATAAGATGTCCAATAGTCAAGGAAATATAAAGATATTGCTCCGCCAATGTCATACTACTTATATTTCCTGAGTTCCAAGGAGATTTTCATGGAAGATATGATGACAGCAGCAAAAAACCTGCCTTTGAAACATTTTTCGAGTTTGCTGACAATAGCAGTTTAGACAACAGTGAGAGGGCTCATTCGTCAGTGACAGTGCCCAGAAAACAGCTGGTGGAAGGTGGCAATAGAGAGCTGAGCGGACAGCCACAAAAAGAGGTAACCAAGAAGGCAAATGAACAGCTGATAGAGAGTAGTAGTGAAGAGCCAGGTGGAAAACCACAGGAAGAGGCAGCCGAGGAGCCAAATGATGAAGATGCCCGTGTTAAGTTAAAAGAAAACCTGTCAGAGATTTTTGAAGAGTTGGCCAAATATGTTGGAATGGCAAATAAGGAAATAGTAGAAATTGCGGAAATGAACAAAGTTCTTGACCTCTTCTTTCAGGGGAAGCGCCAAGCAGAGGGATGCTCAAGTGAAAGGAAAGTTATTCGGCATAATGTTGAAGGAGGCGTGCTCTTTGTTGTTTATGGATGTTTGAAGCATAGGTTTTGCGTAAGTGCAAGAATAATACTAAACCGTATATTATCCAAGCACTTGTTAATACAAAGAGGTTTTGACGGGGGTTTTCTGTTTACATAGACTACTAAAACTAGTAGTTTCAGAATTTCTGGGTCTTGGTTGCATCTTTTGTGTCATACCACTGTTGTTGCAGTGATTGTAGGCGTCACTGACATTTTTGTCTTGCGTTATTTTGTTGTGTTATAGAGAATATTTTGACAAAATTCAAATGGTTACGTTACTTGAAACGTGGCTACCAAAAATGATACATTTTTGAAAGAAATACTCAAAAATAGTTTCTTTTATTTACAACAATGAGTGGGGTGCACTTAAATAGGAAATCATAGTACTTGCATTTTTGTTTGTTTTCTGTAGATATGAAATTTTCCTTGCAAGAATCCTTCTTGCAAATCTTGGACCACAACTGCCATGCTTTTTGTGAACTGGTTGAGGGGCGATTCAAGAAAGTATACAGCAAATGCTCAAAGAACTGGCATGTTCCAGTGAAAGGGGAGAAACAATACAAATACTTGGACATTCTTCTCTCCAACATACTCAAGAGGCATGCAGATGATGATAAGTGTATAGCCGGTCATGTGCAAGTCTCGGCCACCAATCTACAAAGCCTGGCTCCTACAATAGCTATGCGTGAAACCCCTGCAACAAAAGATTTGGTCGAGCCCAAGCTTTCCAGATTCAAATCTAAGAAATGTCTTTACTGTATTTTAGACACTGAAAATCTTCACACGCTGCCTGTTTTAGGAATGGCTTTTTGTACTTTTTTGCTTAGTCATCAGTACTAGCGTACGTACTATTTTTACTGACTATAAAATGACCCAACAACTGGGATGACCAGCATACCAACGTACTAGCGAATATAGCGAGGATTACCAGCGCACCAACGTACTTGTAGTGAATATAGCGCTGATAACTAGTGTTCTTACGTACTAGCATACTATTTTTACCGACTATAGAATGACCCAACAACTGGGATGACCAGCATACCATCGTACTAGCGGATATAGCGCTGATAACTAAGTTTTTTACGTACTAGCGCACTATTTTTACCGACTACAAAATGACCCAACAACTGGGATGAGCAGTGCACCTACGTACTAGCGAATATAGCGCTGGCAACTAGCGTTCTTACATACTAGCGCACTATTTTTTCCTAACTAAAAATGACCCAACAACTGGTAGACTTAAAAGAATCCCCTTGAATTCACTAATATTTTTGTCTAGTATATGTAATTTAATCATCCGTACTAACCTAGAACAGATTAGAAAAATGCTCTGTATAATTAAAGGGGATCTTTATGGAGAGATCAGCCACTTTCCTTGCGTCCAAATTTGCTGAGGGGCCACTTTTCGGCGAGAGTGGACAGAAATTCCAAGAAAAACAAACAGAATTTGCTTCAAGAATCGCCGAGAATCGCCAAAGTGGTGATCTTACCTTTTGGACGGGGTCTGGTACTTCGTACGAAGCAGTGCTGTGCCCGTCGAAAATGGCGAATCCTTCGCGTAAGAGGTCAAAGGCCGATCTGTTTTCTCCTGAATTAGTAAATGCTCGTCTGACGGCGAAAAAGCAATTGTCAGTGGAAACAGATAGTCATGTTGCCTTTTTCCAGAGTAAAGACCTGACAACTGTCGAAATCATAAAAGAAACTGACGTGCTGTTGATTTTGATGTTGAAGCTCACTTTGAATGCTCTCTTGGTTTTGAAGTCGGCGATTAACCATGTTCCACCTACGTACTCGATGCGTTGTAAAGATTTTCACTGCGTGTTATAATTTATAAGATGATGGCTACCTGTGCAAGTGCATGTTGTCTAACCCTCTCTGACCTATACTTTTATGTCGGCTTCCTTGAAAGACATTGTCCAAAATTCATCTCCACGTCTGAATTTTTTACCAAAAGACAAATTATGGAAGCTATGTGACGGTGGTAGATATCGTTATGCCAAATTTTGTCACCGCCTTTGCAATGCTGTTTGAACTACAGTGAAGGCGTAACTATGCACAACCCACCCTCAAAGGCCACGTTATTCGCGCCTGAAGGCCCGATTCTTACGTTTCATGTGTTCCGAAGAAATGAACAAAGATCTCATTGCAGTTCCCGTTTATTCAGTACCTGGCGTGCTCAGTGCTCATTCGGTTTATGGCAGTAGGATTATTTATCTATGTTGATGGATTCGATTGTAAACTTTTTAATTACTACTTGCAGAGCTGTTATGTTCACCAAAAATCTACTACCCTATGAAGAAAACAGAGACAGATTTTCAACAAACTCAAAATGACTAAGAAGAGGTTTCAAGGAAGCGTTGGTCGACAGAGTACCCTCTGATCACCTCAATGCTCTTCCACCTCATAGGAAAGATTAGGCATATCGTTCATCTTCACTTTGTAGATGGAGTGATGCTTGGTACGCATGACTGGATTTACAGTGACATCATGTCATTTGATTGACAGGAGTTGTTCGAAAACATTATTGTTATTGTAAGACAAAGCTCGTAGGATTTACAATCGCCCCAAGAGACATCGCGACGTAATTGACCAATCAGATCAACCCCCTACATTCCTTCCGACCCTCCCCCAAGCGTTTCAACAATTATCACTGCAGGAAATGTGGGATTCGGAGTTGTATAGTTTTGTTTCCCAGCTTCTCAAATCCTGTGCCATCAGATATAGGAACGGAGAGTTATCGTATTGGTGTGGACCACCGTGGAAGCATCCTTTTTTTCACCGAAAGTGTGTAGAACGCATGCACATGCGCAGTACAAAAAAAAGACCGTAGTTGAAACGGCTGTGTGATCAGAATAAGGTGACTGGTCTATGGAGGTCCGCGTGCCCAAGAATACATATTGTCTTTTTTGGTACAGTTAGTAACACAGTATTGACACCACAGTACTGGTGCTTATTCCAGCACCGGTGATAACAAAAAAGTACCGACTTTAGCAAGGTCTTGGTTCTAATGTTATCAGCCTCGGCCTTCGAAATTGCAATTGAGAACGCCTAATTAACATATTTCGCCTCCTTGCCATTAATTTCTCCATTTTTTGTTCCTTTTTACTTCTTTCGTAGCAAATAAATAAGAAAAGAAACCAATTTATCTCAATAAGAAAATGGTGCATGTTCTTGGAGAAAATGTCACTTAAATGTTTTGCCCGTGATGTTATTTTTTTTTCTGACAGCCTTAATAAGTTTAATGCAAACATGATATGAATTTTTCCTGTTGTTTTCAACTGTTTCAGCCATTACTCCCAACAGCAACAAAGGTTAAAAAGTGTTTCAGTTCTTTACCTCTACAGTGAAAGGGCTTTTGGAGAATTCGTTCACAAAGCGTTTTGCCATAGTGCAATTAAAATACACCCACAATTTTCAGCCTACAGTGAACGAGCGAAGAACATTCAAGTCACTTGCAAACGGTTTCAAATCTCGCGGACTAGATCCCAGGCCTCAAGACTCGGCCCCTTTGCTTGCGCACACATGGCTAATTTTCATTACCATAATATGTAAACAAATTATGCGTAAAGCGAAAAAAGAAAAAGTCACGTTTCCCTTAGTTTTATCATTGAATCAAAGAGAAGGAAATGATTGCTTTGCTACCTGAAGTCTATCGTTTTCGACTGGCGATGCAGTTTACTTAGATAACATGACATGAAAAGGAATCCACCGCTGGTCAGATCAAAGTTCGAGTTGTGTCTACCTTTTCTTCCAACCACATGTTGCACGCCTGTGCAAGGCAAACGTCTTGCAGTTTGTGGTTGTACGTCCATTACACACAGAACCCGAATTGATTAGACCTGTTCACCTCTGGTATTTCAACTATGCTCTTCGATCGATCGATGTTTTTATAAAAACTAAGTCAGTGAAGCTCAAGGTAAGGATTTTTCACGCAAATCAAAGTAGAACTTACATACACACTCACTCACTGGAAAAGAGAGCATAAAAGTTACTTGCCTAGCAAGAAAATCTACTTTTCTCCAGCCCTACCGATTAAAACATTGTTAGACTTGTTTCATGTTTCTGTTACCAAAAAATAGCAGCGCAGAAATTTGAAGCGATTAAAAAACACTTTCACTAGCTATGCAGGATTTTAATGATTGACTTCAGCCTATAAAAGCGAAGATTCTTACATTATTGTAGCAAAACAGCGGGTTTGATTTTGTGTGAATTTCTTACTTACCGATGCTACAAATTGTGACTCAAAGCTTAAATATACAGCCAGTGTATATTTCTTTTCGTATACAAATCGTCACGGAATGAGTTTCGTTCCAGAATGACACTGAGTACATCGAAACGCCACTTGTAGTTCCCCCTTTAATTTCACTTAATTACGCAATACTCGCATTCAGTAGCTAACAGGTATTGTACTGCACTTAGCCATCAACGATGATCACAGCATTTTGTGCGGTGCTATTACCACTCGAGTTGAGTTATAAACTTTAAGATGCCACGTTTTTTGTAGCATATACTTTTCTCCAATGTAGTCACATGATAATTATAGAGCATTGTTTTGATGCCTTATCATCAGATCTTTTGAAATAGGAAGGTTGAATCTTTGGGAAGATTTACAATCGCATTTTGCAAAAGATAAAAAATGCAAGATGGGCATTGGGTGTAAGTTGTAAGTTTAGCAAAAGCTCAGATGCAATCAGTAAAAAATAACATACTATTGATTTTATACGCCATTATCTGATGCATCAAATTTCATACTTGACTACAACGCTTTGAGGCAATAAAACAAAAGAAAGGAATTACAGTAAACACCCAGGATTAAGAACAATATATTTTTTTGAAGTCTAGCTGAGAAAATGGTTTCTCATATATATCAGGGCATTTAATCAGCAGGCAAGTTGGTTCTAAATTAGTTTTTTATTTCAATGAAGGAGGTAATTGATGATTGATTACTGAAAAAATAAATAAAACTTTTGCAAGGAGGTTCTTACTACACTGGGTTTTGTTGACAGTCATTTACTGTATGAATTTTTTTAATTGCCTCAAGATCATTTCTTGTGAATTACTTTTCCTAACCCTTGGGCTCAAGTATGGATGTTAATGTATTCTCACTGTCTGTCAAAACATATTCATGAGGAAATGATTCAAGAGAATGATTGTGGGGAGTTAACACTTGCCAAACTCGAAACAGCAATGTCTATAAATATTAAGTGATTATTTAGTGAACTGATGGATTCCAGTTATCAGTAATATCAGTTATTTGCACATATATTTACATAGTTTTACATTAATTTGTACTTTTGAAATTATAAAATCATTTCTAAAGTTATCAACCCATTTACTTATATTTACAGAAGTCGCTTGTTTTCGCAAGCGAAAAGTTTTGGATTCTTGTTATCAGTAATATCATTTATTCCTAAATATATTTACATAGTTTTACTTTTTTACTTTCTTATTATACAACTCTAACTTTATACAACTATGTGCAAGCATTAGAAGGTAAAAATTTGAAACCACAAACTGGCAATTAATTAAACCAAACAAAGAAAAAATATAATTCATGACTTCCCTTGACCATAATACTCACTGGGAAAGAGCGCATAGTGACTTTCCCAGCAAGAAAATCTACTTGTTCTGGATGACAGGGCGAGACTTTTTTCGAGCCCTACTGATTAAAGCATTGTTAGCCTTTTTTCATCTTTCAGTTACTCAATAATTACTCAGTGCAGTAACTTGCTTACACAGAAACGTAA